TCACATCACTTTTTTTGCAAGTAAATCATCACAAATTAAATCCTGGCAAGCTACATATAGCTACATATACACAGTTCAGGATTAGATTTGACTAAATAAAGTCTGTGGGATTAGATTAGTGCCAAATAAAACAAGTAAAATAAATAAAACTTTGGCGAGAAGCACAAACATGGACAATTGTTAAATCTGAAAATTATTCTGAACTAAACAGCGAAAGCAAGTCATCTTCAAACAAACAGCTTTTGTTCGCTTCACTGTCGCTGAACACAGTACGGGATTAGATTTGTGCGTAATAAAACGAACAAAAAGTTTGTGAAACTCACTGTAAATAAATGCAACATGAAGAAATTGAGTTAGCTTATTAGTTTTTACAAATTTAAGTGGACTGAACATAAAACAAGTCTTGAATTGTGTTTCAGCTGCTTTTAAATAAGTATGAACAAACCACACACACACACATACATTTTTTAGGTGCGTGCAAAAATGCAGATTGATAAATCAGAAAATCACTCTGAACATAAAAAAACAACAAACTAAACAGCAAAACCAGTCATGTTGTCTATAAGTAAACTGGTTTTGTTGCTTCGCTTTCATTAAACACAGTTTGGGATGAGATTTGTGCCAAATAAAATAAACAAAAACTGTTGTGAAACAGAAAAGTGTGCGTTTGACAATAGACAAAATCACTCCGATCATGAAAATTAATCAACTAAACACCAAAAAAGTGATCGTCTTTAATAACTTTCACTAAACACACAGTTTTGATTGGATTTATTCAAACATGTTTATGGGATGAGATTTGTGCCAAATATAATAAACAAAACTTTCCTGTGAAAGATGCACACAATAGATGGAGATTAATAAATCAGAAAATCACCATCAACTAAAAAGCAAAAGCAAATAAAGGAAATGTTTGTTTCAGCTTTACTTTTAAAGCACTGTAATATCAGTGTTCATTTGTTTTATTTAGTTATATTTATTTCATACACAGTTGAAGTCAGAATTATTCGCCCCCCTGAATATTTGTTCTCCAATTTCTGTTTAACAGAGGAAAGACTTTATCACATTTCTAATCATAACAGTGTTAATAACTCATCTCTAATAACTGATTTATTTTCTCTTTGTCATGATGACAGTACATAATATTAGACTAGATATTCTTCAAGACACTAGTGTTCAGCTTACAGTGACATGTAAAGGCTTCACTAGGGTAATTAGGGTAAAGTTAGGGTAATTAGGCAAGTCATTGTATAACAGTGGTTTGTTCTGGAGACAATCCAACACTAATATTGCTGAAGGGGCCAATAATATTGAGCTTAACATGACTTTAAAACAATTAAAACTGATTTAATTCTAGCCCAAATAAAACAAATCAGACTTTCTCCAGAAGAACAAATATTATCAGACATACTGTGAATAATTCCTGAATCTGTTCATCATTTTGGAAATAATTAACAAAGAAAAAAGTAATGCTAATAATGCTGACTTCAACTGTATATATTTATATATTTTAATATTTTATTTATATATTCATATTCATATATTTTTTTTTTGTAATTTATTTATTTTATATTTAAATTTTACATTTACTTATTTACACGTTTATTTACTTATATACTCATGTATTTACTCATTTGTTTACTCTTTATTTGCTCATTTTTAAATTGAGGTATTTGTACTTAAGTTTTTATATTTGTCTATTTATTTTTAAACAGTTCAATCCCATCATTAAGACATGTCATTTGAAAAACAAAACAAAAGGAACCTTAGAACAGAACAACAACAATAAACAAACAACACCAGACTATTCCCTATGAACCTGCACCAAGAAAATCACACCTAATTGACGGACACACTTCTCTCGCATCTGACAGCAGGTCATGTGCACTTTTAGAAAAATAAATGACAGAAGGTTTATCCTGCATATCAGCACGTGTGTATTTGGTCTGACACTGCAGGTACAGATTAATTAGGAGTCGCATCCACAGCCTTGGTGTACTATAAATATTAGAGCTACTGGAAATACTCTTGCTAATAAATGCTGAAATGTGCTTTTGCTCATGAAAGGATGAAACATGCAGCATTAAACATGGTTATAAATATAAAAACAAAACAACATCCTTATTTACAGTTGCTATTACATATGCAAATCTACATGCAATGAGCTGAAAACAATATTCAAGGAGGATTCCTCTGGATTTACTCATGTTTTTTTACATTAAGTGGTTGTCTTGATATATTTGGGCTGAATTTTAACAAACAAATCCAGTTGAATATTATTAAATTATTTAAATTCAACACAGATCAATAGTTTGCCACAGTTTTGCAGACATCATGTTTTTCAGTGTGAGCTACTGTTAGAGCAGCCACAGCGTTCTGACCTCTGAAACTTCGAGGATGATACACTGACCTCTAAGCTAAATTCTCCTTTGACCTTTTGGCATTGGAGTTCAGTGATAAGCCTAATGTGTATGAAACCTCAGCATTATGAAGCCGGCTC